AGAGAGAGAGAGAGAGAGAGAGAGTTTTCCAGCCATGCACGCAGAGAGATAGAGAGAGGCTACTTTCATCCATAGGATGGACAAAATCAGAATGAATACTCCACTACAATATGGAAATATACAGTATTATACACTGCTGTTCAGCCATGGGCGCAGACTCCGCAGAGAGATGGAGAGGGGGGATAATTGGTAGAAAGAGACCATGCCAAAACCTTTTCGGTTTCGGGCGGCGCCCGAAACTCAGCCGTTTGGTACTACTGGCCCAATGACTTCCATGTGGGGTACTACAGGCCCACCCGTCGCTCCAAGGGCCCTACCAGATCATGAATCTAGCAAATAACAGCGCCAGATTCATTTTTTCATTTTGATGTAAAAAAAAAGGCCTACCGCTGAAGTATAGAATGAGGCCAACGTACGGTATTTTGAAAAAGAAGGGCCCTACGGCCCCTGCCGGTTCATGACAGCGCCAAATTCTTGAACCGGTAAAAACTGGCCCAGGGATATGTGGCCACGGCGCAAAGGCGCCTTTCACCCAGGCTAAAGGCGTTTGGGCCGGTAGTACCAAACGGCCCATTTCCGGGTGCCCAAAACCAAAAAGGTTTTGGCGTGGGCTCTTTCTACCAGTTATCCCTAGAGAGGGGCTACTTCCATAGGTAGGATGAGCAAAATCGGAATGAATCTTCGGCTAGAGCATGGAAATATACACTGCCGTTTTTTTTGTTTTTTTTTTGCATGTGAGTGTGTGAGAGAGAGAGAGAGACACACACACACACTGCAAATGGTTCTTCGAATCCACTATTCACCTCTGGCTTTCTTGCCCACTATCGGCTCGTATTTGGAACTGGTGGAGAAGCCATTGGGACCGTATTAGTGGCCCAGCCTTCCCCTGGGACGATCGCTGGATCTTGCTGGGGGGAGTCCCAGAAGACTTATCTCTGCACACAGGCTGGGGCTGAGAGCCTGCCTCTTTTCAGTCATCTGGGAGGTAAGGAAAAAGTGCGCCTTCGAAGGACGTTTTCTATCGGATGCTGCAATCAAGAGCTCAGTGAAGACACAGATCAGACTCGTCATTTTGAGCGACTGGAGAAGGAAGGTCTCCAGTCCCAGACAGCGAACAGGGGGTGTAACCTGGTTCCTGGGGACCTGGGCCCAGGAGGGAAAACTGTCGAAAGTAGTTAACAACAGGGTGGTGTTGGACGATTGGCTGGCAGAGGCCAGCTAAACACCTGGGCACTCGGTTATGTTCTCCTCAGTAGGAGGGCAGAAGATGGTGGCATGAGGGGTTGGAGGGAGTGCTGATTGATCAAATGGAACAGTTTTAGGTTCCAATCTCCCATTTTAGGGAGATGCACTTGGTTCGAGGCCTCAGCACTTTTGCAGGGCCAAGAATGTGAGAGGCACCTAGTGAATTAAGTACAGTAGGGTGTTTCTCTGTTATTGTAGTTGTTTGCTGGTGTCTTTTGTTGTTTTGTCTCAAGGGGTTGGTCCCCTGCAGGGATTCCCCTGTAAGCGAAACTGGGTAACGCTCCCAGATGGTCAGTGTTTCCGGGTAGACTGTGAGGACCCCAGCCTCGACAATTGTTGGCAATATAACATCGATCTCTTTGGCAAAAAAAAAAAAAAAAAAAAAAAAGAGATAGACACACACACACAGAGAGGGAGAGAGAACAGGTAAGTCTCCATATCTTTTTTGTCTTTTGTGCATTGAACACGCTGAAAAAGGCTGCTGTGAACTTGTATTCGAACGTCGCGAATGGAAGAGGCCTTCAACTCCCACGGCGCTGCGCGCGAATGGCTGCACGCGAATGGAAAACCCACGAGCGGGGATGAAAGTTCATGAAACTATTACGCGTGTGGGCCGTCGAACTCGCGCGACGACGGCCAAATAAAGAACAACAATTTCAGCGTGTCTCCCTTGGGACCCCGCGCCTTGTCCGTCACTGTTTCCCAACACAGGGAGCACGGGCTCGTGGGACGGCGCGTGGGACGGCTCGGAGGAGCATCACGCGAGACCCCCCGTTCCCTTTATATTAAAGAGTACAGAAAAAGGAAACAGGGATGCATGGGGTGCCCGCGGCCCCGTGCCCCTTCCCCACGCGCCAAGTGTCGAGCAACCACCACCGCCACCCGCCGCAAACCCATTCAGATTGTGAATGCGTGTTCATAGCGTTCACTTTTTTAGTACTGTGCCCGTGTTCAATGAACGTGCCGTTTCATAGCAGACCACAAACCAATCTCAATGGTTTCATAGCAGACCACATTCCTATCTCAATGGACATTTGCACGAATCTGAGCATCACAGAAGAATTATGACGTATTCCGGTTGAACCTGTGTACAGTGTGTAGTACTGGATGATGATGGTGTTTCCCAGTGGATCAGAGAATATTGCGTTCAATGGGTGAAAGTAGGAAAGATGAATCTGAAGATTCTGAAGAAATCCCCACTTGCATGAGGTTTGATGAAGCCATAGCAGAAACTGGCAGATGGAGTACCTTCTGATTCATTCTGGGCAATCAGAGGACAAGGAACTTGAAAGTGAATGAATACAGGAAGAAAGGCTAGCTCCCCCAATAGACGGAGCGGCGGAGCCTCTCCCCAGGTGCCAGTGGTGCCTGCTCTTACCAGCAGCACTAACACCAAAAGAGGCGTTAAAAAAAAAAAAAAAAAAAAAGACAAGGAGGAAAGTAGAGATGGCTGAGGAACACGTGATCCCCCATAAACCATACTATGATTCCTCGCACTGAAATTGGAACAAGACGTTACTCCATTTCATTTGCAAGACTTCCAAATCAAGAGCGAACAAGCATGATGGGCCAAGTATCATGCTGTCATGAAGATACGCGAAGGGGACAGGATGACAAAGTGTTTGCGAAAAGTTATAAAACCTCCCCACGAAGAAACCTTTGTATTCATTTCCCCCCCAGCAAGGGCGGAAAGTTATAAGACCTCCCGGCGACGAAACCTTTGTACTAATTTCCCCCCCAACAAGGGTAAAAAGTGCCGCAGGCCCAAAAATGAGTTTTTTCAGGTCATTTTTGTGGGAAAAGTCGTAAAACCTCCCCGCGACTATACGTAGTTTTCCGTTTCCCCCCAAACATGAAAAAAGTGTCGCAGGTCCCAGAATCACTTTTGGTTTCATTTTTGCACCCTGGCTGGGCCGGTAACGGTCTGGCGGGAGGTGTTTTGCAGGGTGGGGTCCAAAAATGACCCCGAAAGTGATTTTGGGGCCTGCGGCACCTCTTTTCCCGTTTGGGGGGAAATGGATACAAAGGTTTGGTCGCAGGGAGGTTTTCTAACTTTTCGCCTCGTTTCGTTCTGTTCCGCTGACGAGTCGGGACTTGCACTGGCAGCTGGCCGAGTCAGGTCGAGTCCATCCATCGCCAGCCTTCAAGTTGCACTGCGCTTCATAATGACTTTTCCAAGCGTGGCCGGCGCCCGCACAAAGTCTTGGTCTCTCCTCGTTTCATCTTTGTCTATCGGATTCCATTATCGGTGCTTTTGGGCGATGCTTCCGTTTTGCTGTTGTCCCTTTCCCAGCTAAGCTAAATAAGCCTTGCGAATTGGCAACCTCATCATCATGCATATGTATACTTTCCCAGCGAATGGGCAGGGGTCTCCCAACTGCACACATTATTACAATTTACAACACGGCTGCAATCTCAATCCCCGATCCATGGAGGTAGAGCATTCGACGCACAATCTCGTCACAAGGATGCTCTGGCGTGTCACCCGAGCAAAAAGGTGCACACGCGCAGCCACAGCTAGCAATATCATATCATAGGGTCGAACCCAGGTGAGTAGTACTTAGTCTAGCAACATCAAGATCAAGATCGAGGGAAGAGACCGGGACATTGGGGACCAAACAGGGAAATGCGAGAGGGGCAGAAAGGAGAGCAACCGTTGACTAAGTAAGTGGGGGGGACAAGAGGGAGAGGAACGGTTCGTTGAGAAGGGCTGGTGGAGGCTCGGAGGTAACTGTCGCCTTTTCCTTTTTCTTTTTTTTTTGGGAAATGTTACCCATTGAAAAAATATATATAATGTAACGAGATATATATATATATATATATATATATATATATATATATATATATATATATATATTATTTGAGGCAAGGCTCGGCACACCCTACGTGTGAAACACATTACTGGGACCGTGACCCAGCTTCGGTTGTTGCGAAAGGCCCCTCCCCTTCCCTGGAGGACGAGGCAGGCATCGACCCTGAACAACGATCGAGGAGAGTACCTGCTGGAAAAAGGAGTGCAGCACTCGTTGGATTCTGTAAAATTCCGAGCATTGTGAGAAACGAAAACAGCATCCATGGGCCATGGGCCATGGGCCATGGGCTCTAGCGAAACAGAGAGTGAGAGACGTCCTGCAAGTGCTATCCGATCAGCCCGCCTACTAGACAATCCCTCGTCCTCGACAGCAGCTCAGACGTATCAGCCCCCTCCCTCATGACAATCTTCATGAAACGACCATTGCAAGCAAGTCAATGCTAGTTTCAGCTCAAAGGAACTCAGCAGCAGCGAAATCGTACTAGGTCATTCGACACCACTGGCAAGGCCCGGCAGGTGTATTCCCGCTGAGGCGCGAAGAACAGACTCGGTGGTTTCTCCCTGCTGAGGCTGTCGAGGAGCAGAACTCAGCTGAGTCGGCTGCAAATACTACCGTAACGTACGTAGAGAAGAAGAAAACATATTCCACTACAGGGATGCGATGCGATGCGATGCGATGAGAACAGTTGATTGATAGCAGTCGACAAAAGAGACTCCAAAAACTTCGCCATGTCGCTCGGACTGCACGAGAGACATCGAGATTGTACCGACCTCGGCAAACTCCCTGTTCCCCCAGGATCCCCCGAAGCCTGGAACCAGCCAGCAAGAACTCTCAGCTAGGGAGGGCATAAATCGGGGGAAGCACCTTCTTGCCCGTTGACGTACTAGTACCGTAGGCGGGAAAGCCAAGGAAAGGAAAGTCTTATTACTTAGAGGGAAGGAGGCTACGGGAGGCGATGATACTGAGCGACACCCTATTCTCTCCCTGGCGGACGAGATGGACCTGTTGTCGTGGGGTCTCACTTGGGGCATCCGCGACAGTCCCCGTACTTGACTCCTCCCTTGGGCGTGTCCACCTTGGTTTTGGTGGGTGCAGTTGGGGCACAGAAGCTGAACACTCCGCTGGCGTCCTCCTCCACCAGCACGTACATGTTGCTGGTCGATTCGTTCCTCGCTCGGTTGCCGCAGAATGTGTTTCCCCTGCAGAAAACGCCAGACCCGGTGTCCTGATCAGCAAAGACGCGGATCGCACCGCCGTTGCCCTTGGCCACGTTGTTCTTGAAGGCGTTTCCCCAGATGACGCACGACGCCTTCGAGCAGGACAGCGCCCCGCCGCCTTCGCCGTTCTCCTGGTTGCCCTGGAAAGTGCATCCCCCGATGGCGGCGGACGAGTCTCGCACCGTCACGGCACCGCCCCTGCGCCCCGAGTAGTTGTTCCTGAACGTGCTGCGGGTGATTTTGCCGTTGCTGTCGCTGACCGCGTAGAAACCACCTCCGTACGAATCCGCCCGGTTGCCGATGAACTGGCACTTGCTGATAGCCCACGTCCCGTCGTAGAAGGACACGGCGCCGCCGCACCCGTAAGAGTCTTCGAGTTGGTTCTTCTTCCCCAGCGCCCTGTTGTTGCGGAACACGCAGCTCTCGAACACGTTGTCCGTCCCGCTCGAGTGGATCGCAGCTCCGCCCCATTCCCGCCGCGTGACAAAGCCCCTGAACTCCACGTTCTTCACCGTCAACCTGCTGCCAGTCTCGATACCGGCGTACCTGCCTCTGCCGTCGATCACGGGGCGTTTCCGTCCCAATCCGAGGATGGTGAGATTGCGGCTAAGCGGCGGAAGGCTGGAGCTCAGGATCACGTCGCCCTTGACCTCGATGCGCGACACTTTGGGATTCCTGTAGGCCTTCATGAACTCTTTCACCCCATAGCCATAAGCAGAAGCGGGCAGCGAAGACAATGCCAACAACACCGCCATCGCCGCCACCGGCACGGCAAACCAGAGTCGCTGGCCATCTCGAGACGACTTTCGGCCGCGGCTTGGATGACAGCCCGCCATCTTCTCCGAGGCACAGCGCTCGATGTCCAACCGCTCTCCAGAGGAAGAACACAGACCGGAAGAGGAGCAGGCAGGACTTGTCCGACGGTTCGCTCTCAAGATCGCCGGTGGGGTGAAGAGCTCAGAGCAGTGTATGCCGCCGGTGGGTGTTTGCTGGGCAGACCTGTACTTCCCACTTTATACACTCAACAGCCTATCTCCCTGGGAGGTCCGAGAAAGCGTGCACTCAGCAGCCGTGGCAAGAGCGCACGCACTCACAGCAGGGAACCGGTCGCGGGGGGCCCACGGGGTGGGGTTGTTGGGGGGGGTGGGGGGGAAAATAGGGGGGAGACGAAAGCCACTACGACTTCCTTGGATGATGGTGGAATCCCTGCGGCACGATCCCGCTATTGCAAGGGTTCTTCATGATCTACGGCCAGTCTGAGAGATCCAGAATCCGGGCACACGCGATTTGGCATCTGGCCCCTGGAGCAATCGAAAGCTCAGGCTCCATACACGATCCCTCGTACAGCTATAATCGGGATAGAACACCTCTCAACATCTCAAGAGAGAAAAGAGAAAGAAAAGAAGTCGACGATCCCTTGGTTCGCGCAAGTCGCCGTAATTTCGTTTCTGTGGACCCCTTCACTGGCCATTCATGTTCGGGCGCCGGAGATGGACCGAGCGAGATCCTTTTTTTCGTACTATGCGCCACTGATCAGAACAAATCTTAGCAAAAAAAAAAGGCCTTTTTTCCTTCTCTACCCTTCGTGTGAGTGTGCTTTGGGAAGTAATCCGGCATCATGATGTCCAATTACGTAATGAAATTTGATGTTGCAAGGGGGGAAAAAACGAAGGCAATACGACACGTCCTCTCTGGAGGAGCTGGCAGCTCGTACCTCTTTTGGTAGTACATGGAGACATCTGTCGCTCTCCAGACGTTCTAAGCAGTTGGACTGCTGCGCTGTCCGTACTGCATCACAACTTTTGTCCCCTTCTCCGCGGTTGGGCTGCTGAGCTGTCCGTCCTGCATCACACAGCTTTTGTCCCCTTTTTCCTTGGGGCATACTCACAGTAGCACTTCGAATTCTTATGTATCAGACCGCAAGCACAGCCCGACTTGGATGCATCTGACGGCAACTGCGTCAAGAGCTGGCTCGAAAAAAGGTCCTTAGCTAGTGTGAGGATGCCCTTAGCCAGCTCCGCCAGTTTGTCAAACGCAGTAACGGCGTCCTCTCATAGAACCTCGTATCGCAAATGTCTCTAACCGCATTTACGGCCGCACCTGGATGCATGTGACCGCAATAATGATTACGTTCGGAAGTAAGTAAAAAGTCCTAGTGTGAGCATAGCGTGAGGGTTGGAAGAATGAGTAAGGGCCTAGCTCTACGGCCCGCCAAATTTGCAAAATGAGACTGAATCTCCCGGTAGAAAACGGGAAGATACACTGCCATATTTTTTGTCCTTTGTGCATGTGCGGTGAGTGGAGCGAGGCCCTAAGTCAAAGCTATACGTGTTGCCCGCCTGCAATCTCACAGGCCTTGCCCACGGACGGACACGATGGCACCCCGCAGCTGGCTGACGTGTCTTGGTCGTCGTCTTTCCCGCCGTCGATCTCTGCGAGTCCACCCCAAACCAATTGCCAAGAAGACGAACAACAACGTCTCATCAGTTGTCTTCGAACTGTGGCCGTTTAAACCACCAGAACTGCCAATCCCGACAAGCGGGACCTCAGGCCTGGCCACCGGCGTGCGGAAAGAGCTCTATCGGAGTGCAATTTCATGTGGCTACTCCAGTACGCAGCCAGGATCCCTGCGTATAGTATAGACCGATGTCTTTTGTCGTTTAGCGGGGTTTCCGTGTGGGGAATGTCGTGGACCGGGTAAATGGGTTTAGAGGGCGTCGTCGCGCGAGAAATAGGGTCACGGTCGCCAACTGGGCACCGACCGGTAGTCTTGTGAGGGAGGGCAGCGGCGGTCGTGGGAGAACCGCGGCGTGCCTCCGGTAGTAACTGTGCTTTCCAAATATAGGTGTTTCTTTTTTTTCTTTTTTTTTTTTGGAGAAAATATTGAAGCTTTATTATCACAGAACAATTTGAGGCCGCCGACCTCACAATTCTATCGGGAGGAATTCTACCCGGAGGACTGGGGCCATTACCCAGATGGGCTTGATACTGGAATTATCACCGAACAATTTGAGGCCGCCGACCTCACAATTCTACCGGGAGGAATTCTACCCGGAGGACTGGGGCCATTAGCCAGATCGGCTTGATACTGGAAACCGGGGACCAAGTCCCACTTGCAGCGGTTTAGTCGTCAGTTCGGGACCCTGTGTTTTGTGCGACACGTTTCCTGACCGCTGATTCACATTGATCGTAGGGCGCATGGTCGGTTATGTTTTTCTTCGAACGGAATGGATTGAATGTTGCTATGTAGCGGTTTCCCATTGGCTGTTATAGTCGGAATGAGCTCTTTCACTCGCAGGGAACGGTCCTCGTCCGTAGCCTGACCCCAGTCGGGCTAGACATGGGGACCGTCCATCGTCTTGTATTTCCACAGAAACTAAAAGTTTTTCCTGACAATGCCGCTGCCATACCCTTGGTTACCAGACTGACCAGCCTTTCATCATTACTGTCATTCAAGCTAATCTTCTCTGTATCGTTCCAATTTTAACGGATGTCCCGAAGGACTCATTACTGTCATTCAGCACGTTATTTTTCGCGATTTAACCCGTCGTTTGTCAACCAGCCGCACATTGCCACACGAAGTCACACAGTGTCGTGCAGTACTGGCTACAGGAACTAAACCGCTGCAAGTGGGACTTGGTCCCGGGTCCAGCGTCCCCAATCTTGTTCCTAAAAGAAACATTCTCCAAAAAAATTAACACTTGACACTCATGAAAAAAGGAGTGGGGGCTAAGAGACACCCGGGTATGCCTCTAGCCTTCCTTGCACGCCTACCTGCCCACCTCTTGCCTACCCCAACTTTCACCAACCCTATAGCACATCCCTGCAGGTAGCCGTGAAAAGAAAACCTGGAGAAGTATCACCCTCAACTCAAGCAGACCACCCTTTCTGCTCATGGTGGGGTACTAATGCGTTCCCCATGACCTATCGTGACCAATAACCATGAACAGAAGGAAATCCTTCCCCTGTCATCTACCGCCGCCAAATCTGAACTCCTCCCCCAAGTCTCTTTAAACCATTTCCTTTGATTTGGACCAACACCTCGAGATGTATGCCTGTTCCAGTCGCAAATAATTGTCCTTCGTAGGTCTGTAGTAATTCGTTTCTTGATTTGAATATCCGACATGCATTGTCGTCGAAACAACTGATTATTCCTGTCGTCCCAGATTACCTTCATGATGATCGCTCCAGTCACCTGGGCCACATATTTCCATTCACTCCTGCCATTTTTGCATCCTGTCAAAATCCACTCATCCGACCAGTCGAACGTATTCTGTTTAAATTTAACCCATTATTGGATCCACCAATCCCATCTCGATGCTGGGCATGTCAACCATAAGTGTCGTGAAGTCTCCCACCCCCATCTGCACCTTGGACAGGTAGTGGGTAACTCCATACTTTTGGCTGCTAACCAGACTGCTGATCCTGTGGCCAAAATTGCTTGAAGCCACAGCATGCTAGCTAATTTCTGGGATGGGAGGCTCTTAAGTTCCACCCACAGGCCTTGCATTTCTTCGTACGATGTCCCCAGTAAACCCTGTTGTGCTCGTCTCTTAAACACTGTGGCAAATGGGTATTTTTTAACCCTTTGTCTGAGAGTCTCTGTGCCTATTTTTGGCTTATACTCCAACAGGGTCACCGTTCTGCATTTCTCAGAACTAAACCAGCCCACTGTTACTGGGTTAATACCAAAGGAGGTGAGTGGTTGTCCTTGCACTAATAATTTCCTCTTCAGTGGGATCAAGAGATTCTTGCTGCAGGCTATAGGTGGTGTGACCAGTACTTCCTGCGCTTCTGCCACCGAACCCAGTTTTTCCTTGTCCCCTAGAATTATTTCGTTTGTAAAAGCAAAATCCTGAGACTTGTGCCACCTACATCCTTCGAACCCTCCATCCAATGCTGGGCCTATTATATGCCGGATATCATACTCCCCATACTCGTTCCGCTTCCTCACCCACAGTCCTTCCTCCGGTATAGAATTAGTGCACAGAATTCTCTTCCAGCTATCAGGAATAGCATCTATTAATTGTTGTCTTTTTTGCTGAACCCCTCTCATTCTTGGCAGTTTCTGTTTCAGTCCCTCAATCTCAATCCAGTCATGTTTATTCTCATCCCAAATATCCCTCACCCTTACTACACCCTTTTCTATCCAACTTTTGCCAAAATGACCCGCAGATCCATTCGCTAGAAACATGTCAGACCCTTCGACTCTAATATGAGGATTCTCAAACAGAATTTCTAACAGCACATCATCTCTTGAATTTGGGTGTTCCTTCTCTGTTGGGATGAGTTTTTTCCAAGCTTTCAAAATGTCCCCCCAGAACTTCGATTTGTCATGAGCTGTTTGTTCACATATGACGGTATCATTAAACAAGCCAATGCATCTTCCTGCCTACTCAGACCCCATTCTTCACTTAAGATCTGCAACCCCAATGCCAGCCAAGGTTCATCTTGAGAAGAGGTTAGAGCCTTAATTGGCCACTTTGCCAAAAGAGCTTGATTCTGTTGTCTAGGGTCTAATACTCCAAGTCCCCCCTGATGTCTAGGAAAGGTTATAGTCTCCCAAGCAACCTTCAACATATGGCCTTCATGCTCAAGTGCCTCTGGTTTCCAGATGAAACGCCCCGATACTTGCTTTATCCTCTGATAAGCTTGGTCCCCAAGATAGTGAACCACCAGTGTGAACCAAAGAACTGATCCTGCCAAACAGGTTAAAACTAAAGCCCGCCCCAACAAGGAGAGATGTCTAGTTTGTTTCCAGCTCAGGATCCTGCTGCAGTACTTCTCGACCAAAATGGCATCTTGGTACTCAGAATTGTCGGATTGAGAGACTTGCACACCCAAGAACCGTTCTGAAGCATCCGCAGGCACCACTTTCAATCCCCAGCTTACTCCCAACTTGTAGGAAGGTGGTAAAAAATAAGTTGATTTATT